GAGGGAAGGACCGCGTTCGCGTATTGTTCGCGGGCCTCTTGAGAGCAACTCCAGGCCGGCTCTCGTGAGATCCCCCCTCCGCTCGTTAATTCCATTGAAACGTCTGATGTTTGAACTTGATGCGATGTTCTGATGTTTCCGAGAGAACGCGAAGCAAACAGCCGAGCGAAAAGAAGTGTGAGAGAGAGAGAGAGAGAGAGAGAGGGGGAGAGAGATGGAGAGAGAGAGAGAGAGAGAGAGAGAGAAGAAAAGTCTCGCCTCTCGTTCCCTTACGCGACACTCTCACTCACCCGAGTCACCCGTTCATTCCCGACAACAATGTAAGACTGCGATAATTCGTTAGCGCTTCGGCTAGTGTCGGTCTGGGCGAGAAGATGTCGACGCGTCGAGACGCTAATTGCAAATTCACGCGGGACTTGAACGCGGCTGTTGTTCGCTGTAAAGCGCGCTTGAGGCGCGTCAAGCCTTCATCGCTCACCTGTGAAATCACCTGACGTATTGGCTGCCGGCAGCCGGCCACGATTAGACATCCGGTGATTTTCTAATATTACGTGCCTGCGCGGACAGGCGACTCGTGTTCTCATGCATGACTTCATTGTCAGTGAGTTCAATGATTGTAACGGCCGTGATCGTATTGTATTCATCAGGCCGTGGACTTGCGATGCAATCGATTCGCAATCTCGCGATCGCCCGCGCGTGGATCTGTCGATGTGTTGTGCGTGCCGTTCACACGGGACGAGTTCATGAGAGACGCGCAGGATCGGGTAAAGATCCCGGCCGGCGCGGCGCGGCGCGGCGCGGCGCGGCGGATTGAATCGATCGCGCCGATATGATACGATTCGTCGAGCGCGTTGCGTAACTTTGCGTTTCTGTTTTCCTTCTATTCTACGTGCGACCGAGCGAGTCGAGTAGGAACGCTTCGCGTTGGGGATTGGTCGTGGTCTCTGCGACAACGTTTTTCATCGGGAAAGAAATCCCACCTCGTGATATGAACAATATCGCGAGCGCCTCTGCAATAATCGCGGAAAAATTTATCGAAGATTTCACGAGATAAGATAAATTATACTTTTCGCGGTGCGTATACCTGTGTGTATACAGTTACTAATAACGTTGTCTCGGGATTAATGAATCGCACAGCTGTGTGTGCGAGGTATAGTCGATCGGCGAGATTTTTCCCGACGGTCGTAGAAACCGATAAAGCGTCTTATGTAACAGATTACGAGGATCGTTTTGCAATAATAGTAAAACCCGATAGAGCCGTATTATGCTAATAGATAAGATCTCGCGCTGCCCTGGACGCGTTGGAGCAGCCCCCTCCTTCCCCCCCCCACCCCCATCCCGTTTTTACAAGCGCGCGCGAGCAGATACGCGCTGCGATAAAGTCGTACGGTAGTCGAAAGTGAGTACAAAATGTAATGTTAATTATTATTAGCGAGTTCGCCGGAGCGTAAAAGCCACGCTCGTATTTTAGTCCCGCTATCGCGCTTGTCTCGGTGCTATTAGCGTAAGGTCCTGCGAGAGCAGAAATATCAATCCGTTTGCCGCGCCGCGTTTCCGCCACAGCTCAGCGAAATGAGAGAAATTATTCCGCTAGACTGCGCTTTATAGTACTTCACGCCCCTCCTGTCACTTCGTATCGTAGGAACCACTTCATCCGCTCTCCCCCTCTCCGCGTGCTACCGCAACATTTACCGTGCCGATCGCTGATCCGCGAACATTCGCGGAAAACTGACGGAGCGTCGGAGGCTCCGGAGAAACAATTTGATACTCCAGCGGCTCTGCGCGTTTGCGGCTCGCAAACAATACCCCCTCGTTATTCCGAGTCTTGTGGCTCGTGCTGATCGTTTCCGTCGCGTTTCTCATCGTGAGATCTAATTTAACGTTCACGAGTTAATGGCCGATACCGTATAATAACGTTCGCGGGAGAAGCAGCGCACACGCGAGGCGCGCGAATAATACCGTGCCGGTGCCGCGCATCATGAGATACCGTATACCGTATTACCGATATTTCGTGCAACGTTCACGAAAGGACGAATGCGCACCAGGCATGGAAATTGCCCGAAAACGTTGGGTTGTTGGGTCGTCATCACCGTGCTGCGCTTTTCAATTTTTAAGATAAATGTTCCAGTATCCGACCTTTGAAAAAAAATATTTACTATTTATTTTAACAATAATGAATGAAAGTAATAATTATTGTATAAATATATAATAGAAAGAACTTTAATATTTTACGATTTGTTGGAAAAAATATATCCAATTTGATAGTTTTGTATTAAAATAAAAATTAATAAAATAAGCACGCACCTATGATTTGGCAAAATAATGGTCAATCGCTAATAAATTCATTAAGAGATAACATCTATATTTATATTATTCCCTGTTAGCACATACTAATTTTCTCATTGCGGTCAGACACTGACCAACAAATTATATCCGAACATTGGGCTATAACCTATTTCAACTGTCTGGTCGCTGGTACGTTAACCCTTTAACGCCCGACTTTTTTATAAGTGTTTTAAGAATAAAATTTGAGTTTTTTTGAACTGAGACTGTAAGTAGTAATAACCAAAAAAAATATCAGAATTTTATATTGGTTTTTTTATCGTTCGTTTTTTGTTTATTGGTAGATATGACTTGGATCCTAAAAACATATATGAAATGAGCAACCTATACAGAGAAAAATGAAGGGTAATTTATACAACATAATTCTGATAGTTAGCTTGACATTTTTGATCTGAAACTTTACTACGTATACTTGTGAGTAAAGTTTATCATTCAGAGCGTCAAGCTCACTATTTCAGAAGAATATCTTATAGATCACTATTTAGATAGTCAATCGTCTCTTCATTTTTCGCCGCATAAAAAACTGTAGGTCCCCAGGCCTTACGAAAATAGCTTGATTTCTTGATTTTCGTGTCCGCCATATTCGATTCGCCATTTTGAATTTCTGTATTCCTTTAATTTCACATGTTGCATCTGAGAAAGCTTCCAAATATATAAAATTATAACAAAAACCAATTTATTCACTTATAGTACACTTCTAGATGTCAATAATAATCCTAACTATGCCTTTTTGAAATTTGACAAAACATGTTATCATTAAAACTGTGCTAAAAACAGATTAACCGAATCTACATACAATTTATATACCATTTTTTAGAAGAAGAATTCACCTTTACAGTGGTTCAAAGAAAACGAAAATATCTCTTTTTTCGATTAAGTTATGAATTCTTAAATGCGTTCCTGGTAACCATAGTTACCAGTAGGCGTTAAAGAGTTAATGCCCTTCATTACTTATGTAAATATTTTATTAATAATATACATATACATTGGTTTAAATAATTTTTCTCCACTTAAGGGAATCTTAAGTTTTTTTAAGAATAAATGCAAATATTTATATTAAAATTATTCTTAATATTATATATTGTATTTTTCGTGACGACTTACGCTTGAACGTCCGGACGATTATCTTAAGGGGAGTGAAGGGTCAGATTGCTGAAAAATCGTGCTTGTTTTTGATAATATTTTGTGAATAAATGTGCAAGAATGAAAATTTTAGGTATAGTTACATAACATATGAAGAGTGGAAAAATTTTGTTTATTAACAAATATTCGTATAAATATACGATATAGCTGAAATATACTCTCCTTTTTTTCAAGTTATTGTTTTTGCAGTAATATCTTGGCTCTCGGTGGTCCGATCAGAGCGAATTCTACCTAGAAATCTTGAGGAGGCCTAACCTTTTCCGGTGAACCACTAGAAAAAAAATCGAACAAAATTAACAAAATGGCAGCAACTATTAGGAAAAAATTCAGATTTTTCAGTTCTTTTGCAATAAAAAAATTAATATCTCGAAATGAAATATTTTGACGGAGTTGTTCATGGTTCACCTGAGAGTCACATGAACAAATATTATTGCTTTAAAATTTCAAATCGATACGAAGCTCAGTTTCGGAGAAATCGCTGCAAAAAGTTGAACAATAAAAGAGAAAAACGCGTTTGAAATTTAACTGGACGTATGTTTATATGAGTATGTGTTTAAAAACACAATTTTTTCTATTCTTCATATGTTATATAAATATATGTAAAATGTTCATTCTTGCACATTTATTCAGTTCGTCACAAAATCATGATCAGAAAACAAGCACGATTTTTCAGTAATCTGATGACTCTCCAGTCCCCTTAAGCGTCGAGCAGAGCTTTTTCGTCTCTGAAAGAAAGGAAGAGAGAATGAAAGAGAATGAGATCGCACGCACAAGTAACGTCGCGAATGTTGAACGTCGCGCGACTCGACGCGACGCGACGCGACGCGACACGGTCACGAGCGGCGAGCGAGAGGCGCACAAAGTGCAGCGTTGATTTCAGATTGGCCTGCTAGCACGTTCGGCCGAGACGGCTAATCTACGAATTATAATTAGCCGCAGTGAGTAACGCTCAGTGCGGTCGCTAAATTTAGCCAAATGCAATCATAACAGCGCAGGTGGTCATTTTACCCTTTTCAAGTGTTTGACAAGCCGAGATTATACGGACCGCTCGCTCGCGCTCGCGCTCGCGCGCTTGCGACGCGGCCGCGCGGTGAGTCACGGCGGGGCTAATTATAATGCCTTTGCGAGAATACACCCGTAGGTCTCTCTTGCCTTTTCGCCCTTTTCTCGTTCTCGATTAAGCATCCGTTGCCCCGTGCGCGCGCGCGCGCAAGCGCGCGTTGTTGTTTCTTTATTGTGTTACTTGCGTTCGGCCGCCTGATTAATGCGTATCGGTTCTATAATAGGCGAGATGTTTATCGCGCCGGACTTGGGGCCTTTCGCGATGTTAGATTGCAATAATAGATGCGCGCGCGATCGATTTCTCAAGCTGGTTCAAGCGCGTGGAATTTCGCGCAGTCGGACTTTGCTTTCCATCAATGTCCCATGCGATTGTTTAGCTTATTGCGTCGCTCGAGTTGGGCAAAGTGGTGAAATCGTGTTCTCAAACGCCACTGTTTACGACAATGTTGCAGGTGCATGTGAAAATGCGCGCGAGATCGTCGAGGTGACCGCGTGAGCATGGAGACCGTGCAGGAAGGCGGCGGTCGTCTGCAAAACGGCTCGGCCGTCATGAAGACGCCGAATCGTCTGAAGATCGTGGAGAGCGATGAGGACGACAAGGTGACGAGCGAGAGGCCAACGCAGATGGATCCGTACAGGGAACTGGAGCTTTACCTCGCCAAAGTGAACGTGAGTCGATCCTGAATATACGCACTTCTCTCTCTTTTTCTGTTTTTTCTTTTTTTTTTCTATACCTCCGGCTAAGCCGGCCACGTTTCTCGTAATTAAATCACGTCGTGCGAGATCCGACGTGGACGATTACGAACTGACAGCTGCGCTCGTAACGCCCGTCTCGTATTCGAAAGTCTCTGGTCGCGATGCGTGTTCTATAATATTCCGCGCTGTTAAGATCGCGCTCGAACCGCCAACGAGCGTTTCGGCGTTTCGCACTATCGCGCTCTCGCCCGGCTAAATCTCCGCGCGTGCACGAGAAGGAGGATGACGAGGAGGAGGAGGAGGATGATGATGATGATGATGATGATGATGATGATTACGATGAGAGGTGGATGAAGAAGACCGAGCGGCGCTGAATTGAGAGGGGGCCCAGTGAAAAATTGACGCCCACTTTCTCTTTACGATAATCGATTCTGATTCCGTGGAACCGACGCTGCTCGGTCCCTCGGCTACTTCGGGCCCGAAACGGAAGATTCGAGCGGTGAAAGGAATCGGGGGCGCTTCGTGAGCTTCGCCCGTAATATTTCTCATTATCGGACGGATCGCCATAAGAGGGAGGGAGGGAGAGAGAGAGAGAGAGAGAGAGAGAGAGACCCGCGGATGATTTCTCTCGCCTGACGGGTCGAGCCGAGCGGATAACCCCCGTGTCTTGATCGATTTCTCGTCTTTCTCAATTAAACGAGTTATTCGATCCGATTTGAGTCACGCGTGCCTCGCGTTGAACGCACGCGCGCGCGCGCGCACACACACATATACACACACACGCACGCGCGTGGCGTAAGATCGCCCCGAGAGATCTCGCCGCGTCTCTTTTTACGACGGATCGTTTCCTCAGTGTGCCATAATACTGCTCACTTGGCGGCACCGGGGGTACCGATCATCGGCTCTTTATCGATCGTTTCGTCGATCGCCAGTCCAGGCGAGAGGCACAGCGCGGCAAATCGGACGCGACGTCGACGGTCCTCACCGTGAAACCCTCCCACGGCATGTCCCGAGTCGTTTCTCGCTTCGTTCGGCATCCCCGTCGCTTTCCGTGTTCCCTTCCTGATCCGTGCATGCGTGCGTGCGTGCGTGCGTGCACGCCTGGTGTTGATACATCTGTTTTAGAGACTTTACACTAAACGGCCCCAATGGCACCCGGCGGGAGTACGAACCGGTTCTCGTTTGCGAATTCGCATAAGGTGCGTTCGGCTACAGGTGTCACCATTGCATTCCCGCGTGACTGGTATAAATATTCATTAGTCGCGTGGCGGACATATACGGACGTATACGCATACGCACACACACACACACACATAGATACACGCATGCGCTCGCGAAATGTGCCTAGGCAGCCGGATAACACGTAGGCAAATATCGCCGGCAATTCTAATGCCGCAACCCCGCGCGCGGCCGAATATAATGGCGAGTGTTATGTCGCCGCGCGAGAGAGGCGAGAGCGAGGAAAGTACATGTCGCGTGTTATATCCCGATATTAAATATGCAGATAATACCGACCGCAAGATTTACCGTTAGCGCTCGCTTCTCCCCGGTCGCTCTGATTTTTCGCGTCCCCCCGCGACTCGTCCGCGATAATCCCGCGCTCGTCCGAGCAGAGAAGGAGCGTGGCGCGAGGAGAGGAGAGATTAAGAGCCGATGCGTCATATTAATAGACCGCATAAATCCGCGCGAGCGATCCGACCGGAGATACCGCGCGCGCGCGCGCGCGCGCGCGGCGCGGCCTGGCGCGGCCCACGAAGTTCGCCGCGGCTCTCTCGCGTCCTGAATCCTCGTCGCGTTCGTATCGCCGATTCGATTATCAGCTGTTGCTACAGATTACCGTCGCGTCGCGCGCTCGCGCGCGACACGGCGTTTGCTCGTTTTCATCGGACGCGCGTCGGTTCCGCGTCGTCCTTCGGCGCGTCGCGGTGCATCGCGAGTGCATCGGTGCATGTCGATGTAGCGCGAGCAAACAAGAGGAGTCCTGCGCCAGGAGGAGCAGCGCGAAGGAGGAGGAGGCGGCGGCGGTGGCTCGTCGTTAAAACTAGTTGGCGCGGAAGTCGCCTCTCTCAGCCTCCTACTATTTCTCAGATAGTGCCTGCGAGTGCTGCTACCGGTCGGCACGCGGTGTACCTTAACGTGGTCTTTACGAGAAACTTATAGCCGCGATGTAATCGGTACCCAATATCGTTTCCAGATGAAGGATCGGCCACTTATCGGCTAACGAGTGATCCGAGCTTCAAAGCTCCCATAGATCCATCCGCGCGTATCGTGCGTCGGCCGCGACGCACGTCTGGCCGTATAGTAGGCTGAAAATGTCGTATAGTATAGTATAGTATAGTATAGCCGGTACTCTGTCAATTTCCGACGCTTCTGCGCGGATTTTGTCAGAGATCGGCAAGAGGCAGATTTCATCAGTTATTTTTTTATTAGCTCTTTATTACTTTTTATGATTTGTTCGGCCATTTATCTCTGATCCTCGTCTCGACATTTGAGTAAAGTCCCGGCGAAAATTGCCAGCGAGAAGTGCAACAGGTGCCGCTTGAAGGGCGAGGGATTTATTTACCCGCAGACTTGCATACGTATGAGAAAGATGGCCGCGTGCCTCAGGCACATTCGATCTTTGTCTAGCTTTGTCCCGATGGCAGATGGAATGGGACGCGGAGATAACGCGCCTGTGGACAGTGGAAGGGAAATATACGTAGCATCCTTTGTGTCTAATCTTGAAATCTCTCCCACGAGAAGGTGCAGTCTATGTGTACAAGTCTATCCATTTTATTATCCTATCCCACGGAAAATATCTATAATAAGGTCCAGGGTGTCATAATGATCGATTCCGACGCGATCTACTCGCGGCCGATATTTAAAGTCGCGATTGGATCGCAATTTCTGCCGATTTCTTTCTTCGACCGAGATTATCCTGCTAATCGAATCTCTCTCCTGCAGCTACACACGCCTTATACACGCTTGATTGGAGAAACATCAAGATCAAAGGATACATCAAAGTGTTAATTAAATAAAGACGAAAGTGTTCTCTCTCTCTCTCTCTCTCTCTCTCTCTCTCATTTCTTCGAATTTTTTAACAGTCTTCCACAGGCGTGCAGCGCACGCTCACTCATTTTACCTTTATTTATCTGATCTTTTGATCTCGTGCAAGACCTAATGACGCAATTAATAGCGTTAGCGTTTCGCGCGGCCGTGCACCGCGTGCGTGTCGAGTGTAGCGTTTCGCGTTTTTTTCCTGCGCGGCGACGAGAGCGAGGGAGTGCGACTCTCGGCATTCTCCCAAGCCGAAAGGCAGATGACACAAACGGATCTTCCTCCTCCTCCGCCCGCGCGCCCCTTTTTTTCGCATTCCTCCGTGCACGCTGCTTTTTTGCTCCTCGCCCTGACCGTGTGAACTGGAGGACGACGTTTGTTCCAAACCAAACGCGGATGGAAGTCGCGCGTCACTCACGCCCGATTCGGCCCCTCTGATCTCTCAGCCCCTCTCGGCCCTCCTCCTCTCCCGAATCGAAAGTGTGGTTCTACAAAATTACTTTGCGAATTCGCTCGAGGACTTGGAAAATTCATGGGGTATCTCGGGATATAGCAGGCTCGTTAATTTTCTTTTTCACGCTACGAAAATACCACTTACTGCTTTCGTCCGTGTCGAAATTATTAATTGTTTACCTATAGTAATTATTTTATATTCGCTTGTCGCATATGCTTCATCCGCAGACAAGTTAAGTTACAAAACTAACACGTCGATCGAAGATTGAGGACATAATTAATTAAGGTTTTCATATCGAGTGAGTGAATTTTTTCACAGCGTCAAAGTGGGACAATAGTCCGCACAGCAATCCTGGGATTCGTCATTTTTTCCCGCAAGTCTAACGATAATTTGCGGGATAAATGTTGAGTGAACATTTCGACTGGAGCTCTCGCGATGGAGACGGGCGAGTCTGCTTTCGGGCAGCTTCTCTCGTCGCTTGTTTCGATATCGCTCGGACGTTAACGAAGGAATGTAGACTGTGATCCTATTGAAGGTTAAATTCGGAGGAACCACTTGAGTAATAATAACCGCCCGGGGCGGATCGCACAACGGCGACTGCCGCTGCGAACGCGCTTGGGTAAACACTGGCGATTTATCGTTACGGCGAACGACGGACACACCGCGCAAATGGTACTTATTATTGCCGATATGATTCAGTCGGCTGATTAATAATAAAACTAATAACTACGCGATACGATAGGCTAACAGATAATAGTTATCGCTCGGCGATAATGCTTCTGACTCGGTCGTGGACTCGTGTTTGTTGCATCGGCGACCGTTAGGATGTAAATCGTCGCTGGATCATTAAGATTATCTGCGGCCATTCTGTTAATTGCGACTTAAGGCCTGAGATTTATTAAGTCCAAGATAGGGGGAGATGTGGTCCGAGAGACGATATGCGCGATGTAGGATATCGTCGCTCGTTGGCAGCTTACTCACTTACTGGGTCAAGCTTGCAGCTTTTCAAGGTTTAGGTTAAACAGGATCTGTCCTCCCCTCTCTCTCTCTCTCTCTCTCTCTCTTTCTTTCTCTCTCTCTCTGTCCCGCGCGAGAAACGGGGCGGCTGATCTAATCGAGATATACCGGCGACCGGACCGATCGGAGAAACTTGTTTTGCGCCTCAAGTCCACAAATGTGCGCCAAATTTAGCGTCGCGATCAGGCCGAGTCGTCGTCGTGTTTGTAGCGATAGCGGCGCATGGTCTTCCGTATATATTCGATATCTCTGCGCGCGAGCGACCAAACCGTGGAATATGCACATGCGCGATTATTAATCGAGCGATGGTACCGTGAGACGCGATGCACTCGGCTAAGAATGTTACTCACTTGGCCAAGATGACTTTCGCACAAGTAACCGACCAGACAATTCTAAATCGAAAGAGGCAAGGGAATTTTTTAAATTTAGACTCGCCTTCCGTGTAACGCAATAATCTTTATTTTTA